CCCCCCCCCCCTTTTGCCTTCTCTGGTTCTAACAACATTTTATGTGATTCCATTTTACCTCCCCTCTTAGCATGTCAATCACACTTTTTAAATGTTTTTAGTGGTTGCCTTGGGGTCGCAAAATACACGAATAATGACCCTTAAGTCACCGTCAGGTAACACTACACCCCTTCTCCCACCTGTCATGACTGTCACATATGTATCCGTATGCTGTGATTACCCAATACATTGTTACTATTATCATGTTCAACCAAAAATTATCTTTTGGATCAATTAAGAATAGAAAACGACTTTATTTACCTTCAGTTATTCTTTCTCTGGTGCTCTTTCTTTCCTTACATGGATCTGTTTCTGACCCCTATTGGTTTTCTTTCCCTGAAGAACGTTTAACATTTCCTGCAGGGCATGTCTGCTGGATAAACTGTCATAGTTTTCATTTGTCAGAGAATGTCTTTATTTCTCCTGTACCTTTGAAGGCTCATTTTGCTGAATACACGATTCTAGGTTGGCAGCTTAGGTCGGTGGGTTTTTCCTTTCAGCACTTTGCATATTTTCCACACTCTCCGGCTTGCATGGCTTCTGAAGAGAAGTCTGCAATCACTCTCGTCTTGTTACCTCTACATAACGTGCCCCCTTCCGCCCACTCCTGGCGTCTTTCAAGCTTTTCTCTTGGTCCTCACGTTTTCGGCAGTTTCACGGATAGGCCTAAATGTAGATTATTTGGTATTTAGCTTGCTTGACGTTCTGTGAGCTTCCTGGATCTGTGGTTTGGTGTCTGTCATTAATTTTGTAAAATTCCATTCTGTTTTCTTTTTGGTAGTCCCACTACATTCACGTTACACCTTTCAAAGTTGTCCCAAAGTTCATAGACATTCTTTCCCCCCACCTTTTTTCTGTTTACCTTTTGTTGGTAAGTTTCTACTGACGTATTTTCAAGCTCATTGATTTTTTTCTCAGCATGACCAGCCTATCGATGAGCCCCCAAAGGCGTTTCTCATTTCTGTTACAGTGTTTTCATTTCTAGAGTTTCCTTTTTTTTTTTCTTTTTTTATTGTTCAAAATATTACAGAGGTCCCTTTTTTCCCCCATTGCACCCTCCACACAGCCCCACCCCCC